TCAAGGCGACTTAACAGAACGTCGGGAAATTGCATTTTGGATCACTCAAATGAGCTAACAGAATGTATTTAACTCCGTCTAGTGTAGTGTGGATATTGGTAGGGAATTTAAATCTACATCGCAAAAAACTTGCTGTTGATCATTCACTTGGATCAACGCAACGTGTAAAGGCGAAGGCGCAGAAGCATTACCCGAATAAGAGTTTTTATACCATCATTGTGTCAGCTCAATAATGTAGAGAAAAGTTATCGTCAGCTATTAAATTACTTGTTTGAACTGACACATGGTAAGTTTTCCTATCTATTCGTCATCAATCAAGTGTTACGTTTGTCGAAGAAACACGATAATAAGTTTATTTAAAGAGCCGGATATCAATACCGCACTAATACTACATATTGAAAGGGTGCATGTAGGGTGCCTGTGCCGCAGTGGTCGCTGGTGCCCTGCAACACACGCGATCCCCACGCCCATCGCCCACCAAGCACTTCGTCCGTCCAGGGTCGGCAAATTAGTACCAGACTTGTCTGGGACGATTACAGCATTGTATCGATACAACGGTAGGCCACTGCGAGTCGTTGTAAAGGCCAGATATGCATTCAATCACCTCTAACAACACTTAATGAAGGGAGTGCAAGGCGCATCCCTCACGACGCCGAGAACTTTACCCTTTATCTTTTTATTTATCATATCATAAAAAACTAACTTTTTTTACAAAAGCCCTACGACGCGAAGATGATCTATCGTCAGTGATTGCTAATTAATAACATGCTTAACGTAGGTAGTAGAAAAGGTCTCAGCCTATAATTTTGCTCCCGCCATCATCATTTTGCGATTCAAATAAAGTGAATTTGCTAAACCTTAATGTCGGATATTGCAAAATATCTGTGATGTTAATCAAAAAGCAGGAAACTGCTTGGCTTCGAATCAGGGTCCTTAAGCACTTGGAATAAAAGCCTTTTTCACATTGATAACGAGAGTGCTATATAGCAAATATCTTAACGGTCGACCTGCAGCTGCATGTATCCAATCTCATGATCCCTGCACGTGAAATTAGTTCCTGGTGAGATGTTCACAATCAAATTACTCGCTTAGCTTTCATGGGACGGGCTTTCTTCAGTGTGGTGTTGAATTAGTCATATAATTACTGACATCAGCCATGTTTAAGGAAGAAGATATCGTAAGGCGGTCGTTATAAACAGCACTGAGAGGCATGCGAAGACGCATGAGTTCATTTATGTTTTCATTCAATTCTAAGGAAAAATGATTTATGGATAAAGTTGGCCACAAATTAACCCATTGATATTTTCACATGTAAAGCACATTAAGGATCTGCTTAATGTGTAATTACGCTTCTCTTAACAAACCATATTCATAAAATTGTATTCTTTAAACAGTACATTTCCACCTATAAAGTGATGGTTTCATTTTTCAGGAACAGAAGGGTCGACGAAAATACTGTAGATGAGACTATGCAGAAATGCTTCCCGGACTTTGTCATGCAATAAAACTGAAAATGTGCAACCTGCCACAATGATGATTTTCGTTCATATAGTAAGCGGTTTCTTTTCAAAATCCACCGTTTTGCTCTTTAAAAGTCATCCAGTCATCTGGAGGTAACCAGCCGCCCGGGGTCTTAAATACATTTCAGATACTAGATAACTGGAAGACTTACGAAGAACATAACGGCTCTGAAAAACACGACACCATCGAAACGTCAGCTATCGTGAATGAATAAATATTGTAAGGGCCACCAGTTTGCTCATCAAGGAAACTGTAACATCAAAGTGTTAAGCTTTTTATTCGCCGCCTTTTTTTCACGGCCAGAGAATTGTGTAAAATACAGGCACAATAATTCTGAGATATTTGTAAAACTCGGACCCCGGCAAGATCTGAACCATCTATTTTTTTTCCAGTTGCTCATATGTTTCCGGTTTTCACCAGTGTATTATGGATTTTGCACAATATAACAGCATTCATTTCTTAGACGCTATGAATATCTCTTAAATCGCACCATCGCTAGACCCATAGGTTATAACTAATCAATCATAGATTCTGCCAGCCCCCGTGTCACCAGCGGTGGAAAATTGTGGCAAATAAAGCTGAACCTGAAACAGGACGATGAAGAGCTGGTGTTGGCAAGCGGCTACGCTTTTGATAAAAAAGCCGGCAGACTGTAGAACCATTGCAAAGTACTTCCTCGTACTACCTTTACTTAACGCCGGCAATCGCCACCATCTTCTCATTAAGTCGTTTCGTGCCTCTCACAGAATAATTGTTTAATTGTGATCATCTGCAAAATACAGGCTTATTTAAGACACTAAGAATACTGGATAAAGGTTAAAGTTACATGTCTGATTAACGCGATAAGGGCAGCTCTCATCTATAAGTAGATAATCCACGAATAAAACTGGACCTGAAACAGGACATTATTTGTACACTTTGATGACTTGTCTTCATTGCTTGTGTGGCCCCAGCATAATTTTCGCATTTTTGAAGTTTCGCTGGTTCATCAGTTGTGGTTCCCATGAGTTCCCAGGCCAACATAGCCAAACTCTGCTTCAGGTCATCAGCGCCACAGGTAGTCTCCTCCCATGTAGATCGGAGTAGATTTCCCAACAGACGACTAGTTTGAAACCATTTCGTTAGCTCTTGTCTGACCTTCCCGGTTTAAACGCTGGACTTCTTATTTGCATGGAAGGCTCTGCCGCCGAGATGAATCCTCCAACTCTACAGCACAGTCCTACACCAAGGGACATTTCCCAACCGCGCGATGGGGCGTTGAGAGGATGCGAGATCTCTGTTTCTTCGAATTGCACAACTAGGACAGCATGTGTTCACAAAGCACTCATTGGAGATATGGGTATTTTAGAGTGGCTTTGTAGTGCTATTCTGCGTACTGTCATGCAGTAACGTTGGTTGCATACTAGTACGAAGTTTTCAGATTTTCAAGCAAGCGAATTGTGTGGCCCCAGCATAATGTAGCATAACTGGAACGTCGACCATTGTGCAATTAAAGTGATGAGCAGTCATGCCGCATCAACATGAACAAAGTGAGTGGCCATGTTGATCACTGGATGGTGGTTTATGTTCATTGGTTGTCCAAAGACTAATCTTAGATTAAATATGGGTATCTTTTAAACCCAATGCTCATTTAACTCTAGTACAACTAATCAATGTTTCCTTTCATTGACAAACTAATCCGAAGTTACAAAAACTTTTGCGGCCAGCGCTTAATCGCCTTCGCCTTCGCCTTCGTCTTCTTCAGAGTGGCAATGGTTCGAGTTTGCTCGGTGGCTATAAAGGAAGTAAAGTACTACAATATGTCGATGAAATAAGACGTCAAATTTGATATAACAGCAGGTATGTTTGTTCCAAAAAATGGCAGATGTGTTGAACAAACAACGACAACAAGCATACACCTGACACCTCGCCTGGGCAGGTAGTCACGGTAGTATTCACTGTAGTGTGCTCAGCTAGTCTTAGGCGACGTGACAAAAGCGGTTATCCTTCCGACTATTACAGCTTCATCGATGACAGAAAACAAATTAGTTTTTTTTAGTAGAAGAAGCTGCGATAGCTTATTTGCTGAAACGCTCGCCATGTATCCTCTGCCGTGTCCTTAGTCTTCAGTGATTCAAACAGGTCTTAATAATACTTCAGTTCTTGTTGTTTTGTACCGAATCTATCTAAAAGGGCTTTGAAAGATTATAGTTATACCTAACATACTTACCGTTCATACATCGTTGACAGATAAAGTGCCGTTTACTGAAGGACGCATTGCCAAATCGGAGATCATACTGAAGGGCGGGAAAATCACCCAGCATTGGGTCTGCATAAAAGGGCAGTGCCGACTGATGTTTGCCAAACAACCCCTGCTACCACTCCATTGGATATGCTTCCGCAAGTTATGGAACACATTTCCTACTGACCATCGCCCTCTGTCTCCTGTCTTCCTTCGCTCTCTCTTTCGTTCACTTCATCCGTTTTCTATCCGGATTTGATTTTCGAATTTCGAATCACTCGAAGTTTCTCAAAACTCTTAATCAGGGGCTCCCGTTTCGCAGCGGTATTCGACCGTATGGGACCCAATCTCAGCCCTGATAATCATCAAGGTTGTGAAATCAATATGGGACGTCTCGCATGAACACTTTACTTCACCATATCTAGCCGGGTCAGTACCAAATGAACGCCGATATTGTGATCTCTTTCCATTGCTTTACATCCAAGTTTGAAATCCTGCACAAAACGTTCCGGAATTTGGTCCTTGTTCATTTTTAAGCAACGATCGAATCCAAACGAGCATGAATCGAAAACCACCTACATAGGAGCTTAGGACTAAATTTTGTGCCTTAACATATGTAATACGCCGATGTCTATGTGCTAGTATTAATATATGCCATCTTACCATTGCGAATGGCAAAGCATTCTGAGTGTTTGCTTGTTTCGAGTCCTTTCTATGAAACCGCAGTTTTGTTTTCTGACGCATGATTTATTCAAAGAGCATATTTTCAGCATGAAGCAGTTTTAAGTCATGTCGGTCAAGTTGGTGTTCAGATTGGAAGGATGTAAATCCGTTTATTCCTGCCTTCAAGTTGAAGACGGTAGCAACCATGCGTACTGGCAGATAAAGTACCGGCAGCTGAAAGCCGCATTGTCCACCAAATCGTTGATCACACTGAATGGCGCGAATCGGCCGACGTTCGTCTTGTACAAGAGGACTCCGCCGATTGAAGGTCGCCATACGAGCGGTGCTACCACTTCATTGCATATGGCTCTTGAAGTTATGGAACACACTTCCTAATTATTACCTCTCTCTCCTTCTCTCTTTTCTTCGCCCTCTCTTTCATCCACTTCATCCGCTTTCTATCCATATTTAACTGTCGAATTCCAAATCCATCGAAGTTTCTCACAACTCTTGTTCAAGCTGAACCATTTCGCAATGGTATTCCATCGTGTGAGAACCACTATTGGTCCTGATCGTCTTCGATACTTTCATATCAATGTCGGATGTGTTGCATGATCGCTTTACTTCACCATCGTCTGTGACAAATGGACGTCGTTATTGTGATTTGTTTCTACTGCTTCACTTCGAGGTTTGAAATCGCACAGAGAGCGTTCTCGAATTTGCTTCTCGTTCCTTTTTCTAACAACCTTGATCGAATCCAAACTAGCATGAAGCGAGAACCATCTACATTGGAGTTTAGGACTAAATTTTGTGCTCTAACAAATGTAATGCGCCAATATCTACATCTCAGTCTTAATTTTGATTTCTGGGTGCCATCTTCCTATTGTGGATGGCAAAGAATGCTGCTGTTCGCTTGCTTCGAGTCATTTTTGTGGAACAGTAGTTTTGTTTTTTAACGAATAATCTATTTGTAGAGGATATTATTGGCATTAAGTAATTTCAACTCATGTGGGTCATGCTGGTATGCAGATTGGAGGGATGTAAATCAGTCCATTTCTGCCATCAAGTAGAATGGCTCCATTAAATTAGCTGAGTGGTATCCAGCTACTTCCAGGGTACGATGAAGAGCACCTTTCCAAAATCAGTAATGCCATGTTGGCACTGTTTCTTTAAGTTGGAATCAACTACCAACCTTCGATTGTTTCTCCTGGTGATGACGATGCTGGGGCCACTCGTTCTGTGTGCTTGCTTTCGAACCCGAGGGCAATTGCCCAAACATGGGCTTAACTAGATCATAAACTTGATCCAATGAACTTGAAGCATCCTTTCGGCCGCTGGTGAGCCCATTCTTTGCTGCACATGTTAGCAGTAAGCAGTGATTAGGGCTTTTTATATTTCGGGACGTATTTCTTATGATCTATGATATTGTCCTTATTGATTTGCTTCTTGCATCGTTAGTAATATTAACAACCTCTGCTTATTGAAGAAAAACATTGAATTATCAATTAATGCCGAGTTTAACAGAAAGTCGGTCATGGGAATTGCTAGGTGGGAGTTCAGTGAAGCAAGCAAAGGGCCTTGCTGTCTTGAAAAGGATTACGAAGAGGTCTGCATTATTTCCTTGAATGCAGCAATCTAGATGTTTTCTGGTAAGGGTGCTGTTTCAGGTCGACATTGACTCTAAAGAAGATGCGCATGAAAGAGGAGAAAAGTGTCGATACCTGAACACATGTATTAGAGCCAATCTTGTTTATCCTGTTATAACAAAAGTACGTCGCCTTATTTGTCTTCCAAATAAATAAGTATTCCGAAAAGCTGACAAGACCAGTATTGTCCTCATAATCCTCTGCATATAACTAGTCCACTAAAAGAACAGCGTTGACGTAAGCTATAAACAAACTAAAAGAAACGAACGTCTACCGCCTGACTGATAAGCGTGGGGAGTTGTCTCCGCAAAGACCACTCCCAGTGATAGAGGCACTTGTTTTCCTCCGCTCTGTAAGAAGCGACAATAACGAAGACTGTGTCTACAACATCTTGGCTACGCGAACGCTTCATTTCGTGGGTAGGTAAGCTCCAAAAACACCGTATCCGCTGTGTTGTGTTCGATTCATTTATATTCTGGTCATTCACTTTAGTACTAAAGTGTGTGGTTTTATCACCTTTCCAATCATTTCTGGATCGAGAGGTATGTGTTTGTTACCTTATAACATTGTGCAGCCGCTTTGACGGCCCTAGCCACGTTTTGTGCACAATGCGCTTTGCTAAGTTCGTCTATTCAAGTACTGCTGAAGAGACCGCAATAGCGGTGATGAAGTTGGCCATATATAACGTCGAAGATTTATGACGTCTTTTTTGGATTCCGTGTGATTTATTGATGCCACATTCTTTTTATATATATAGATATCTTGTTCTAAGCTTCTGTAATAGAAGTTTTCTTTTCTTGTCTGTCAGATTTTGAAGAAAAGAATCTATTTATACGGAAAAGTGGAGGCGTTCAGACATTTTCTATAGTTATGTCTTAAGGTCTTACGCTATGGAGCCACCTTCTACCTTACCTAGCTTTCCTATTCTACTGCATTCGTGACTGACAGTGACAGCTTTGTTCTAGATGGCTTGCAGGTTTGTGTTTGTTGTTTGATATACGCCACTTAATGAGTTATTTGTGCCGCATTGTATTGAGGTGATGCAGTTACACGCAGAGTGCTGCTTATTTGAATACTTATGCGGAAGCTTCTTCTATGCCACGTTTGGTAGCAGCAACTATTCTACCGTTGTCGACATCAGGGAAGCGTGCACCGGTACTTCCTGACATGATGATGGAAACATCGACACAGTTTAAGAAACCGACGTAAGCAGGTACTACAGTATTTCTTCGGTTGATGACTCCAATCCAATGGCTTAGTTGTAACGTTTCCAGATACGTTGATTTCAGTTACAGTGTGACTAAATTAGATTGTGTATTACAAAGGAACCGCTTTAATCAGAAACTTTCATTTTTTCTTGTTTCTTTAATTCTGTTTTCTTCTGTTCTGATTTTGTTAAGGGTGTTTCTTTATTTATAACCGTCATTTCGGTGAATTCTTTCAAAGGTTAACGGGTCACTTCGACATGTTCCTAATCAAAGTAGTCTTGCTGTAATGTCTTCAGTCATAGTTTTGATCAAACCGTGAATGCGCTATGTGAATATTTGAAATTCGTGTTCACTAAGTTGCATTATATACCGTGAGTTACATCGCTCTTGTCATCAGTTTGTTTCAGTTTTCCGAGATAGGTGGTTAAGTTGCTATGATTAAATGATCACATCGGTTCAGTCGTATGGTCCTATCTCGTCCTGTGTTGGTTATTGAGCAATAGGAGGGCGATAAGATTAATGCCATCTAGAAGGAGTCCTAGTCGCAACCAACTTACCCCCGATTAACAAGGGCTGGCGCCTTCTCATACTGAAGACCGATTGACGTCCTTCTTCCTAAAGCGGCTATTTTCTCCTTGTGTGATCTCCTGAGTTTTGCTTATATCTTAGCATCCTTTATGTTCTATTTCTCACTGTATCCTACCATGAAGAAAGCGTGGGCAGATAGTAAAAGTTGAAACATTGTGATACTTCATACATTTTTTAAAATATACTCATTCGAATGTTTTCAGGGCCTCCATAAGCAGTAGCTAAATAAGTAGAAACTTGTTGAAGAGTTTTCTTGTAGAAGTCGGTTATGAAACACCAAAAAACTAACTTGCATTCATTCTTTGATAGAGATGAGCTCTAGAAACTTATATCCGATTCAAACTCTTGTAAAAGTTTTTTTTGTCGGTTCTATTACTATGTTATCTACAAGGAAATACTCGCATCTTCAAAGATGAGTCAATGTTGATTATACCTTTACGTTTTCTTTCGTGTTTTACCCTCTTTCTTTTCTATTGGGACTTCACAATTCGTTTTCCGTATATCCAAGAAATTCACCACCAAATGTGGTGCATTATTAGATAAACAAAAGTTAGGAGTAAACTATGTAACTATCAAGGATCTTCGGTCATTGGGCCTTCCAGTGTTGATTGGACTGATGACTGAAGATTTTCGTCTTTTTTATAAATATAGTTAAATGCTAATTGAGTCCTTTTTCTCTTGGAGCCCTTAAATCCCAGGGCTAGAGCGTTCCCATTTGGATTGCAGGGAGTCAACCGTTCCCAGAAAAGTTTGATACCTATTTCCAGACCTAGAAGGATAGAAGGCTCAGTGAGCAGGGGACAGGGTCAAACGAGACCCGTGCTCGTGACGAATGGGGTCACTACCACTATGCTTCGCCCCTATCATGGGTAGCCGCGTTACTTCAATATCCATTAAGTATTCCACGCACTGCATTGTCGTGTTCTACATTTTTATTTTGTCATCGAGAGTTGTTTCTGCACATTTGGTTACGAACTATTACCGTCGAAAAATAACACTTCAGGAGAAGCCGACTCAATTTCCGACATTTAAGGCAACAGTTCTGGAGAGAGCTATTGTAAACTGGAAACGTGCGGCTAACCAAGAGTATCCATTAGATAGAATTAAGCTGGTTGACTACTACTATTACGGATGAGGAACGACAGATGACTATCAATAGGTGATGACTCCGGTATTTCCCGCCGAGTTTCCAATCAACTAAAAGGGACTCACTTCTACACTCGGACTAATAAGCGTGAAGAATATGTACTCTCCGGAATGATTACTCCCAGTGATCGAGTCACTTGTTTTCCTGAAGCAACAACAACATCACCTTCAGAATCTGTTTCGAATCGATGTAGCTGCGACATTTTTGCGTTTCTTTTTCTGAAATCGCGAGCTTTTCTGTTGTAGCTAACTTGTTTTATGAATCTTTCAGTTCTTCCTCACTTGTGTTAGTTCTTTGAAGATTGCGAGTGCGACATCTTGGCTACGCTAGCACTTCATTTCGTGGGTAGGTAAACTCCAAAAACACCGTATCCGAACTATCCTAAGCTTCTGTCTAACCCGAGTGACTTCTGCTTCGTAACCATAGGAAATGGCTACTTTTTATGCCAAGTTTAGCGATTCCTTCTTTCCATTTTTCCTGTGAACACCTTTTTAGCCGTACGGTACATGTTTTTGATAAGTGCTTTATTCATGTGTGAGGGAAAACCGACTTTCTATAAACCTCGGCATAAATAGTTGATATATTTATTTATGTGATCTTACAAACTGATCTTCTTAAGTTGACGCGAGGTTGGTACAGATCTTCGTTGTCGTTGTCGTTGTTTTTGATGTTATTGATCCATGGCGACAGCCACAGGTCACGCGTGATAGTGAGGCATTCGTCCTTCCGGTTCATTTTTGGATTTTTGAAATTTATCCAAAACGCCTCGAGTTTTGCGCGTTGATGTTTTTGATTCCTGAGCTGGGATCCGCACATTCACTTCAAAATCATCGCCGTTGTGATCTTGTGCCCTATGCGTACCTAGAGGAGTGTTTAGACGGATTTTAGCTTTTCCATCTAGATATTCTTTTATGCGGACACAAAGTGATCTACCCGTTTCCCCAATATATTCCTCGCCGCATGCGTTACATGAGATCAAGTATATTATACCTAAACTCATGCAATCCCCGTCTCTCCCGTTAGGACAGATCATACAGTTTTCTGAGCTGCGCAACCGATCATAGAAACGGTTTCGAACTAACTGGCGGCGTAGGGTATTGGGTGGGATGTCAATAATCGTTACATAATTTTCAAGACCACTTTTTCTTAAGCACTTTTAATGGCGTGACATACTTCATTTGATATGAAGGGCAGCGTAAAGGGGATCCTACTTTCGTCTGAAATATTTGGGAAACTACCCAACGTTTTCCTCTAACCCGAGTGGCTTCTACTTGGTAGCCATTGGAAATGGCAATTTTTCGTACCAGGTTTCGCGATTCCTTCCTTTCCTCTTCTCCTGTACACAGATTTTTAGCCGTACGATACATGTTTCTGATAAGTGCTTTTTTTATGTGTGAAGTATGAGAGGAGAGGCAGTGAACTAGAATGTTATTACTACTTGGCTTGCGATAATTCAAAATCTGTTAGACTTTCTATTAGTGATAAAGGCGGAGAATTTGTAGTTCTTCCATGTCGGTTGGATATTAGGATAACAGAGGAGCACCTCAGTGATGTTTCTCTCAATCGAACATCCTCTGAAAAGGAATACAGAAATCAATACCGAAAATTAAATCAAGAATGGGTCAGCACGGCAAAGGCCGCGGGCTTAGAGCCTTCACTTATTTCTCGACACCCCGATTTGTCCTGTCCTTTACTTGCTTGTTAAAACTCATAAGTTTGCTTCAACTGATGGTATTATGTCAACGAAATAAAATAAAATTAAAATAAAATTAAAAAATTAAATTTAAATTAGAAATTAAATTAAAATTAAAATTAATTAAGTTAAATTATAAAATTTACACGAGAAAAACCTACCGAGAACTAGCTTCCATTCTTAAACATCCAAATGAAGCTCTCAGTAAGTGGCTATATAACACCTATTTAACATAGTAGGCCGACTGAAGAACTAAAAATGCATACTAAGCCTTAGTAATTTTGATACCCTTTAGAATAAAAATTCAATTCGGCCTCTGGGTGATATTGAGAGCATAAAGCATCAGGGAAAGGAAAAGTTATTAATAAACGATCCAAGAAATCCTCTTCACAGCACGTCATAGACACGTCGTTTGGGGCCTGTGCCACTGTATCAGTAACGTTCCATTTACTTGACTTCCTATAGGCCGGTCGTTTCTCCTCTTATTATCGTAGGCGGAAGCACCTGATCTGGGTATTGAAGTTCGTTTTCCTAAATTACAGAGTTTTTCTAAAAATCGCGAGTAAACCACGATTTTCCACTTTTTTGGCCCACAACGTTGTTTACTTGGAGGAAGTCAACTTTGTTGTCGCTCAATGAGAGGCGTAAATGGCAGGAGATGTCATATTCATTGTTTCTCACTGTCTCACACTGTTAAGATGGAATCCATTCCAGTGTTCGTAAATTCAAAATCCACTAAGAGTAGTTAAATTCCTTACAAGCATTACTCCTTTGCGATAAAAACTCTATCCTCGTATTTTTAAATCGTAGTGTCCACAACTGTTTATTCGTGCGACTGACTTCATAGCTAGTTAATCGTTCAGTTACTTTAAGGAGCGCATGTAGCTCAGTGTTTAGAGATGTTCTGCAACGCACAATAGACCGATCGTTTGTTCGATCCTACGCCCAAAGCAAACCAAAACTTCTATTCCTGCCACGTCGTAGTGACCGTTGGTCAACGCCAAGAGCTTCATCTCTTATTCCTTAGTTACTTTTGGAGCCAGTTTTGCATCGGATTCCATATGAATCACATAGAAACAAGTATTAGCTAGATAACATTGACAACCACTGTGAAGATCACCTTTGCATTTTCAGATCTACTTTTATCCTTTTCCTTTACCTTTCACTAAGGAATCATGTCCTCGTTCTTTATCGCTTTCATAAAAGGTATCCGTTATGATCGGAATTCATGCTCTTTAGAACATCTTTCCGTGATTTGTGGGTTCCATTTGGCTATCTGCCAGTTCTGATTTTCAGACTTCTTGATGACATGGCGCCCGCTGGCAATTTGCAGAGAACTTTGTGGCGTCGGTCGTTTCTACATAACGATTACGTCCTTTTTTCTTCCATTGTAAGACCTTTGATATTTTCGATTGACTAATATGACAAATACAAAAGAGAGTCTTTGAAAAGCGTTGAATTCGATAGCTTTCAACTGATTACAATTATCTACATTTCAAAGGTGGCATTCATAAAACTTTTGATGAAACAATGTTTATGAAAGCATTATTTGTGACGTTTTAGATGTTTCCTACGTCGAAATTCATTGGCGGCATCCAAATATTGTTATTCTCTACACAGCTATTTTGATCCAGAGCTTTGCCCAATAGCTTTAACTTTGTTATCTCTAAGGAATGCGTGGTGACATGCGACAGTTTTCATAGTTTCCTGAATAAAGAAGTGAAAGGAAATAATGAAAGCAAACCTTACATTTGACTCAACTTTATATTAATGTAATAGTCTCGTCTAAAGGGCATAAAGAAGTCCTTTGTCATCTATATTTTATTAGTTTTGCCGTTCCAGTGAACACTAGGAGAGAAGAAGCAAAGTAGTCGGAATGGGAGCACTTTTAGATCGACTTCGTGGTCGACCACGATTAGATCCGATAAGGGTTCGAATGGTTTGGAGCTGTCATATCGGAACACACGAAGAATACTTTTACAGAGTTGGTGGAACAGTTTTCGTTATGCTCAGGAGGCCTGGCATTGATCAACGCAGAGATGTTTACCCTTTATTTTTATTATGCATGTTCTAAAATAAGTAGCACCACTATATTTAAACCACATACGGTCGGGCTCACGTTTTAACCTTGTCACAACCGCATGTCATTGGTTCGTAACTGAGATGCGCGTTGAAACGAAGATGTACCGCCGGTAAGTCTGTGCAAGAGGCACAATCTATCTGCTTCTTGAGATTATTGTTCCACTGTTCGATTTCTATCCACATATCTTTAACTTCTACATATCCGCCATGTTCTTCTGTTCATGTTGTTTTCGCACATTTCATGTAATTTAACTTCTGTGCGTGATAAAAATAAAAATCCATTCGTTATCCAACTACAATGTTATTAACTTTCTACATGGTCTGGTGTGGTAGCTGAGGTGTATTTCTCTGTTTCTTCAACGTTTCTTTTCTATATCCACCGACTTCTTTGTACCTTCAGGAGCGGCTTTTTTGTAAGTACAGTTGAGAATGCATCTAAGTGAAAATTTTGAAAGAGAAGCAGTTTTAGTCAATCCTGTGTGCTAGATAGTTACAGCAATACAAAAGGTTCAATTCTTTCACTACTACCTCACTTTCGCGTGGCTGTCTCGTCGGACCGCGTGCAACTGTCGCGCGCTAGAGTTGTTCATTGAGATCAAGATGTACGATCGTGAAAGGGTTAAAAACGAAAGCAACTCTGAAGAAGTCGTTGAAACGTTAGCCATCCAAAAATCAAAGCAGGTGTTGGGGAACTCGTGTCAGCTCAAGAAAAGGGCAAGGTAATATGAGTTCATCAGTATCGAGGTTGGTCGAAAATCGGTCTTTCCATTCAGAGATGATGGTCATTTATCGAAAAGCCAGCTTTGGACGTTATGTATTGATAAAAATCGTAATGTGACATCCCAAAATTCTCAGATACGGTTAGTGGTTGGAAGCGTTCTACACGTATTCCTAGTGGAAAATCGATTTTCTTTCGAGTTCTTCAATTTTTAGCATTAATTTCCTCATAAAGGCAGTGAATGTCGCCAAGATTTTGAAACGTTGACCTCCACATTGGTAAGCAGTTCGTATGTTAGTTATTGTTTTCCCGAAAGCATGAAAAAGTTCATTGGCGCTTTTTTAACCAACAAGCGTCCCGAGAGAGAGGAGAGTGCACACTTATCGTCAAGGCAATACAAATCGCCAGTAGCGTGCAAGAGTTCGGTTTAAAAGTAATGAAATTGCTAAGAAGATAAGTTTTCACAGCAGCAGACCCGAAGCGATAATGAAATTCTCCACAGTAAATGATCGAATAGTTTCAATTTTTGATGTACCGTAACCTCAGTAGTATAGGTTTTGTTGAACGTGGTGCGTCGTGACGATGGAATGCGTGAGATTCTGATGCCAAAGCAGTACACAAAGAACAACGATGAGCGAGAGTTTGTCCTTCGTCTGCTTGCTAATCGTTTTGTCTCGTTTTTCCATAACATTATTATGGTGAGTAAGCATCGTTCTCATTATATGTTAATGTGGAATTTGACTCATTTACAAGAGAATTCAAAGACATGTGATCAATTCGTTCCCACTTAGACGATTAGTTAAGTCAATTCTGCATTAATAAATTTTCAGTTGTGTAACTCAATGCTTAGAGACAGGCGAAACGAAGGACCCGCTTGGTGTGATGGTGAACGCGTTGCTCCCCGGAAAGGACAATAGCGCGTTCGTTTCCCACCATAGACACCTGCGGTCCAGAGTTTTGCAAATATCTCAGCAACGTTGTGGTTGTATTTCAATGCTTAGAGTTTCCCTGAAACTCCAACGTCGTCACTAGTTCGACCCAACACGCTGTGTAAAAATCAGGTTCTCCATTCCTGTTAAGTAGGAAACCTATTGCAAGATTTTCCTTAGAGGACAAAAAAGAGTAACTGAATGTATAGGTCGATCCCTGAGTTCTTTGTATGGTTCAAATACGCATTCAAACGTTTTTGCAACGCTACGAATGATGATCTGGCGCGTCTTGGGATTGGTAAAAATGCATTCCTTTATTTTTCATTTGCACAATGCAATGCAGCTAGAAATTTTGAAGATCAATAAATATGTTTTTAGTAAAGTTTGCATTCTTCATACTTTTTGAATGTAGTTTTCTGAATGATCCAGTATTGTCTGCTTGAGCAGACAAAAAGCATTGACTTAATATAATGGTGAGTCCCCGTAAGTCATTATGTACTTCAAATGCGCCTAAGTCCAACCTCTGCGATGACACGAATGCAATCGGATGCATGGCGTGTTCCCGGGGAATTGATTGTCCTTTACGACACATCATCAGTAATTCCATCCATTACCGAATTATCAGAATTCGTACGAGTGAAATATCCGTTTATTCTTATTCGATTCCCATTTTTTTCTCATTCGCTCGTAAAACATGAAGAGCACCAAACGTTTGGTATGGTACCCTTTCTGAAGAAAATTCAGTCACGGATAGCCTGCCTGGCTTTACCATGGCATAGATTTACTAAACTGAGTCCTCATCTCCGGGCTACCACCGAACTCCTCATCTTTGATGACATTGCTGACTATTGGACTCCCGTTAACGATCCCAGTCTGACACTAAGGAACACCTTCGTCATCACAATGATTTTGCTTTACCACATGAATCCTTAGGCCTTGCTTTACAATATGCGAAGACGTATGCCGCCTTTTTTCATATATAATTTAGGAAGAGCAGCTAACAAATCTTCATGAACTGAAAGACTCTTGTTACAAGCTGGGTCAACAACACGCGGGCTATAGTAAGGAGACATTTAAGGTAATCGATCCAGTTCAAATCTCGACACTAGTAAAATATACATAGTTTCTCGTTTCACTCAAACTCAAATCAGTCATGGTGTTCATTTTCCCTCCTGAATTCGATGAATTGGGTTAATGTTGGGTTGTTGCTGCATGTTGCTTTCCGAAATTTTGGATACCATTCAAACATTTTGTTTGGGACGCATAAGACCGGAAGGACTTAGCTTTTACAGTTTATTTCTATTTATCCTAGATAAAAGTAAATCTTAATGGTTCAAAGAAAAACGTCTAAAATCTATTCATCTTTGCCATCAAAGTGCAGGTTAACTATTCCACCAAGATAACCATCCTCGAGATTTCATCGTGTGTCTTTATAACGAGGTAATACTAGTAATATGGTTGCAATGGCCTACAGCGGGTGGCTCGTGCTACAGCAGGATCGTTGAAACTGATAAGTGTTTCACAATTTCGTTCGGAAGCCAAGCTGGAAGTAAAGCGTTGTCACACTACAGTTTAGCTGTGTTTAGTGGTTACTTTTTCATTAAAAAGTGAGCCTCGTACTAAAAATCTCCTACTCTCCATGCCGCTTGTGGAAAACTGGTGGCTACGGAGAGTAATGATGCCTGCTGAGGCTGGTTTGAGTAAGCCGGAAATTAACGAAACCACAGTTTATACAGGTGATCAAGGCAAAATGTTAAGATCGTAAAGCTCAGGAATCTTTTGCTTTTTCTATTCGTCATTGATAATCATATCCCGAGTAGTAAAGTGATTGAGCAAGTTAGATTTCGCTCGAAAGAACACGACGCTGTCGCAAAAACGGAGTTTGTGATATTTCCCCCATATTATATTCCTAAAAAGTCTATTTCAGATAAGCTAACACGAGCTTTTTACCACATATTTATTCGGCTAATGTTTCGACTTCTTCGTTTTCCTCAGAGACGATGATACGAGTCGATGGTCCAGAGCCATTTGCTTTATTGATTCGGTGTCTTCTCCATCGTATCAAACTGAATCTTCTTCAGAGGAGTACTGCTCGAACGAGGTGACCTAGCGAGGCAGCGCTCTGCTATACAGGACAGTGTTTGTTGATAATGACTCTCTCCTACATATTTGTGAATTGTCATGTCATGTCGGCAAATACAGTCATTGAAAAACTATCGAGAGCTGTAGAAAAATCCACACAGGATCGTGAGTGGATAAGAGATAATGAGGATACAGTCGTCACGCATAAAATTAGAGTACTGTTAGTTGAACCGCAAAACGCGCGTCAACTTCCACATTAATTGGAACTATGTGAGCGCTGTAGAAGATGTTTAGCTTAGTGGTTAGAGGTGCCCTCCATTACGTACGTGCATTTTGGCTCAATACTATTCTCGAGTAATGTTATATTACATTTTCTACAAACTGTTTGCTTTGTTATAAGAAATGCTTAAATGAAATTTAGGAAAATACGATTCATAAACGGCAATTTTTGATAGCATCATATAATAGTGAATTCAGAAATTGTGGTGATGGCTTCCAATCCATCAATATCGTGATATCTTCTTTGCTTTGGTATTTCATCCTGCAAATGAGATATTCTGTGGAATATATTTCTGTTCATATCACATTATTTAATACTTTCGTTGTCTAAGGAACTATCTTATCTTGCAATTATCCAAGAAATGCTTTCAAATACTGTAAGAAATCCCTTTTCTAATATGTTCGGATCATCATGAAGACTTTATGCAACTGAGTTGTAAAACACGGATACCACTTTTCTGCAACTCCACCGACAGTTGAAAAGAAGTATTTCGAAGATTGGCAGCAGTTTTGGCAAAATCACGACGATGACGTCGAAAGATCGTCGAGGTCACACTATTTCTAGGACATCCTGTTGATGATAATGTCTATCTCTCGTAATCATTGAAACCGCCACTCCGAATAAGTGCACATGAAAAAAATCGGGCGGAAAAACCTGTTTGCGGATTTTTGTAAGGTCTGCAAGGAAAATGGGTCAACACGTGTACTTTTCAGTCAGCATTCATCTGGATTCTTCATCATCGCTTATAAATGTCTCAATGGACGACTTTGGACCACTCGTTTAATCAGAATTCAGATTTGATTCCAAAATGGAGGAGTCGTCACAATAATGACCTTATTTGAGTCATCTATCGATGAGAAAGTAGTGCGCGTTTTCAGCATTAAATCAAAATATTTTCGCTGGAACTGATTTTTTCATTGAAATAAGAACGATTAGGATCTACTGATCTGTTCGAGCAAGATCCATATTTTACCATGCTGGATTTCTTATTTCCTGGGGCCTAAAAAGACGTATCTTTTCTCTTTTTTTTTTCTTTATCGAAGCTTTCATCCAAGACTCTGAAGGAAATGATCAATCAAAATTCGTCCAGAAGAACATGATTTAGACTTAATAAATTAGTAAAAATTTTAAGTTGTTTAAATAAATAAACTAATAGCAAATAAAATAGATTCAAAAAGGGGGGCGTATAGTGTAATCGTTTGAGGGGTCATCAATACACATGGGATCGGTCCGCGCGACCCAGGCTCACCAAGCCTTCTATCCCTTCGGGATCGGCAAATTGGTACCAGACTTGTTTAGGAGGAAAGCGGTACTGATTCGACACACCGCTAGGCCTAGGTGATTCATTGTTTAGGGCAGGTATGCATCCAGTCACCTCCAACGATGCCTAATAAAGTCAAATGCATGGCGCGTCCCTCCGTCGATTGATCAAAGGCAAGAGTTTTTTTAAATCGACAAGAAAACCTCCTTTGGACGACTTCATTTTACGCCGAGCAACTATTGCCGTTGAACAGAGTACACAGCATGGACAGTATGGCGAATGAGGAGACGCAGAAATGCCCTACTCAGGCACGAGGGTGCGACATTTAGGGATGCCCTTTCGCTCCGATAAGATAGTGATAAGATCGTCCAAGAGACTTCTTCAGAGCGACTGTGTTCGCTGATCATGCGCTCATCGATGACATTCAGCACTGTTTGTCTTTCGAAAGTCATCAAGTCTTATCACCATAATTGACATTCATTTTACGACCAGGAACTCTAAGAATTATGCAAGGATGCAATACGTTTATATGTATAGGTATGCTGCATATAACTTAACAATTTCAGCCAATAGCAATAGCAGTTTACAAGGTTTGCTTACAGTAATTATCGACGAAAATCAACCAGAGATCCTTTCTACGTACCTGGAAGCAAATGCCTACCTATAATTAACAGTTTTTGCACAAGACAATCAGCTGTTACCCGAAATCAACAATCTCCACGTAGGAATTCGTAAAGATGATGTAAACTTTATATGATCACTATTTGAAAATTCCGAACAATAATTTTTCAAATTATTTTTATTTACCATTAACCTCGTCGTTTAACCTCGTTAATAATAATCAAAGTGGACAAAATCGATCAAGGAACGGGGATTGCGCAGTGGTTATTCATGCTGTAGATCAGGGAACAAAAGGTGATAGTTTGCTCCCCGCCCCAACACTCTCCTCAATCTACGTGGTAACACCTTAGCCTGCCTATGCCCAAGATTGCAAGGAGAATCGACTCGACCAGCATTCTACGAATTTCATAAAGAAGATTAGATCCGCAAGCAGTAGGTGGGACAACATTTGAAGTGTTCGAAGAAAATTGTGGCTGAGGAATGCGAGGGAAACGAATCAAATGCCAGAAGTGGTGGGATACGCAC